GGCTTGAAAGCCATCTGAGGAGGTGCTAGATGGCTTTCCTTAAACCTAATAGGCTTGCTGGGGCCAATGAGATATAACACCTCTAGGCTATAAAGGCAATTTTTTGCCCATCACATTTGCCACATCAGGATGCAGGGGAGCTGGGAGCCCTACAGAAGTGCGTGAACGTGCACAGGTGGTTCTTGCATGGGAGGGAGGAGGAGGTGGGTGCCAGAGCCTAACCAGAGCTTCAGAGTCTTGGTTTCATGCAATGAGTCTAACAGAGCAAGCACAAGCCTGACAAGAGGCGAATCTCTCCGTCTTTCCAGTTGATGGGACGTGATTCTGACGGCTCCTCACAGACAATCCGGCTTCCAGCCACAGGGCCTGGGCCTGCCTGCCTGGGAGGCAGTGGGCACCAGCTGGAAGCCGCAGCCATGGGAGTGGGGGAGGACCCCCAGAGCCTGGTGAGGGAGCAGGTCTGGCCTGACGTCGGCTGTGCTCGAGGCTTGCTCTGCCACTCACTGGCTTTCTGACCTTGGACAGTGACCGGAACTCTCTGAGTCTCAGTCTTCTCATATGAAAAATGGGATCATAACTTGCCTTCCATGAGAAGAGAATAACACTTCCTGATTTCAAAGCCTATAATCTTAGCCATGCTACACCACATCAAATATAAACAGTCATGTCCTTCGTCTAAGGTTCAAACCAGCCTCAACTCTCCAACCCCATCTCCTGTTCCAGAGGGGAAGGGTTTGGAAGGAACCTGACGTGGTATGTCTCGCACCTTGAAGTGTCAGTCACCCGTCAGCCCCTGTGCTTACAGCTCTCCCATCGCTGATCACACTGTATTCCAAGAGTTTGTTGAAGGACCGGCCCCTCCCCGAGCAGACCATGGGGTCCTTGAGAGGGCCTGGATCTGGTTTCTCTCTGGGTCCCCATGGCCTGCTGCGCACCCTGCAGGTGTCCACTGGGAGCTGCCTGGGGGAATTGCGAGGAAGGAGCCCGACCTCCACCATTCCCGAGGAGGCCCGGCCGGGCTGAGGAGGAGGGGGCACTGCCCTGGGCTGGCGCCTGCGCTCCAGCTCAGTCGGGCCAGGGATTCACTCTGTGGCCTCGGGACTGACTTCTTGGAGCCTCAGTTCCTTCACCTGTAAAGTGGGAACAATGCGTCTTGTTCCTAAGCACCTTCTATTTGGTTGGTTTGGAGTTTTGGTAAAATCCAAAAATCTTTTCAGAGTAAAGAAATTTAACTGGCAGACCACCCAGGCCTCACTCTGGAGTGTCTGCTTTCGACACGAAGGACCAGGTTGTCTAAGTCCCAGCTTTTATTGGTTCATGTGAAATAATATCGTATTCACTTCTTTGTATATTACTTACAAATTAGAAAATGAAAAATATGCAAGTAACATTGTGTGAAATAAAACAAAAATCATTCTGAATGTATAACTTTGTAGCCTGGGGTATACATTTTTAATCTGGGCTAGTGGGTGAAGATAATGAGAATGGTGTGCCTTTTAGACTATAATAGACTATACCGTGTGGTATGGCTGGGACTCCTAGTATCACCCAGTATCCACTCTCTCTTCTCTCTTTACGAGTAAAACTAATTCGGATTTTTGACAGGGCACCAAGCCACCCAAAATAATGACAGCATTTCCCATCCTTCCTTGCAGCTCAATGTGACCACGTGACCAAGTTCTGGGCAACAGGATATTAGTGGAAGTGTTGTGTGCAATGTACACTGGAATATAGAGGCAATGGCTGGAGTTTGAGCAGCTATTTTAGGCAACGAGATGGAAGATGATGGAGTGGCAAGATAAAAAGAGTTGATATCTCTTAAAAAATTGTGAATTACCTTACCAATCCTGTTTTGTCCATCTCCAGACTTTTACCTGAAAAGACAAATCTTTCTTGTTTAAGCTACTTTTAACTTGGGTATATTATAGCCAAACTTAATCCCAGCTGATATATATGACTCTGCTAATGACAATTTGCTTGGTTTTGAGTTTCACAGTTTATGAAGAGCTTTCAGGGTAAAGAAGGAAACTAATGCAATATGCATTCATTCATTTATTTTATAAAAATGTAACAAGGATCAGGGCCAGCCTCATGGCTGAGTGGTTAAGTTCGTGCGCTCCACTTCGGTGGCCCAGGATTTCACTGCTTCAGATCCTGAGCACGGACCTAGCACCGCTCATCAAGCCATGCTGAGGCAGCGTCTCACACAGCAGAACTAGACGGAGCTACAACTAGAATATACAACTTTGTAGTGGGGGGCTTTGGGGAGAAGAAGAAGAAGAATCAAAAAAGAAGATTGGCAACAGATGTTAGCTCAGGTGCCAATCCTTAAAAAAAAAATGTAACAAGGCTCTACTGTGTTCCAGAACCTGTGCCATATGCCAGGACAGAAATGAATCTGATAAAGCCCCTGCCTTCCAGAAGTCCACCACTAGGAGTGGAAACAAGCAACTATAACACAATTGACAGGAGTTATAATGGGGAGAAACTGTGGGGTGCCGTATAACCCAGAATCTAGGAAAGGACATGACGTGGGGTGGGATGGGATGGTGGACAGGAGTGTGAGCCCGGGTCCCCAGGCTGCCCTGCAGCTCCTCGGCCGATCTCTTGTGAGAGGCAGCAGAGAACTGCTTATGCTCTTCCCAGGGAGGGCCCGATGCTCGTTGGAGGCTCTCCAGAGCCTTGTTCCGGGAGCTGCAGGCTCTGCTTTCTGAGGGGACGTGACAAGGTGTGGTGGCGTTAACTCAGGCCTGAAGCCGCCTCTCCAACCCCATTTGGGGCCTTTCGGGGCTCAGGAATTTGTCAGGACCAAGGGTGCCTCTATTTGGCTTGACTGTTCCGGAGTGAACACCGGCACAGAGCCACACAAAGCCATCTCACCCACATAGACACCACCACCGGCAGCCACAGCGCGTGGTGACAGAGCCTTCCCTGTCCAGGCTCTGTGCTTTACATATGTTCACTTTGTTCCCCAGGATGGCCCTGCGAGGCGAGCTTTGTTACCCTCACTGCACATACAAGGAAACGGGCGGAGAGGGGAAAGTGAGCCGCCCGACCTCGCACAGCTGGGGAGCGCCAGGGCCGGCTCGGTCCCAGGGCTGCCTGACTTTAAGGCCTGTGGACTTTGAACCCTCACTCCTCTTCTGCTTTTCCATCACAGTTCCAGCTGGACCCCACTTCCTCCACGACTCTTAGCGGATCTGGTGGATAATTTAGTAGACAGCACTTCAGCGGTCCAAGGTCATTAGAACCAATTGCAGGCATCTCACTTCACAGATGAGGGAACGGGGACCCTCAGTGGCATGGAGACACATGCATCCGTGTGTCAGGATCACAAATGTGCTGGCGGCAGGGCATAGCTCTGCCGGCTCCTAAGCAGACCTGTTTTTTCCCTGCCTCTGTCACCTGCTGCCGCAGATCTCAGCTGCTTGCTCTTGGATTGAGCTCTGGGTCCTCATGAAATGACGTCTACAGAGAAGACTCTGATGCCAGGCGTGCACAGTTCTCCCATTGTGCTTTCACTGAGTCCTCGGAGAGTCCCCTGAGCACAGGGTCATGGGTCACAAGGACCCATCAGAGCAGCTGCCACCCTTGTTGGGGACACAGCTGAGTGCAGCCTGGTGTGGTCAGCACTGTGATGGGGAGCACGGGGCCTGTGAGAATACAGCGGAAGGAGCTCTACAGTCTAGGCTTCGGCAGATGAGCAGCCAGAGGAGAGGAGGGAAGGGAAGAAAGGATCTGTCCGTCAGAGGACCCCCAGCAGCAGCGGGAAGAGCAAGCGTGGTGTGGCAGGGCCTTAACACTCGTAGTCTTGCCTGCCCAGTAGGAACCCTCTCCGCAGCCTCCTGAGGCTCACTGTCTAGTCCTTTGTGCTCCAGACCTTGGCATTCTAGAGTCTATCCCTCTGCTGCGGTCACTCTCCCCTTTCAAAATGCCCCCCAGACCATCTTCCCTAAGTCACCAGACCCTTGGGACCTATATGAAGCTCTGCCATAGACCCTCTGAAACTCTTCTTTCCCAGCTTGAGGTGAAGGTGAAAGAACGCCCCTCCTCCTCGACTGAGGGGGCAGAAGGGAGGGGTCCACAGTCACCCCAGAGACTATTTCCACAGCAATAGCCACTCCCCCAGCTGCCCCTCCACAGGCTGCAGGTGGATGACCAGGGCTGGTGGCACACAATTCCTCCAAGAAGCTGTCGCAGAGACAGGACCAGACATCCAAGAGATTTCCTACAGGATCAAAGGGAGGAAGCAGGAATTACGGACAGAAAAGGGGGGAGGATGAGCCGGAAGAGGCTCAGATTCTAGGGCAGTTCTAAGAAAGTTTTGGCAGGTCTGTGAAGAGTCCTCCAGCCAAAAATGCCCATTAGGTGAGCCACACCCTCCGCAGGAGGATGCACGCAGGAAAGGGCTCAGTCCCTGCCCAGAGCAGCTGGGACAAGTGCGACTTCAGGGTGAGTGCAACGTTCAGTCCCGAGGGGGCAGCTGGGCAGCAGGCACGCTGAGTGGGGCCACTGCCAAGGCCGCCAAGCGTGGCTCCCTCGGCGTGCAGAGTGCTGGGCACCAGTTAGATTGTTCTCACCCTTGGGACCTCAGCCAAAACTGAGACAGAAAGAGTGCCACTTCAACATCTTGTTACATATACATTACTCATTTAATTTTCCCATCTCTTTAAGAGGTATGTGTTAAACACTTCATTTTCCAGATTCAAAATCTTAGGCTTAGTGGGTTCCATAATTCTCCTATCCCAGTGTAGCTGGTGGGCAACAGAAGCAGGACTCAAAGTCTGGCTCCTTGTTACGGCTCTGCTCCTTTGTGGATGCTGCCATCCCGGGACCAGCCGCGGGGCCATCAGACTGACGCTGAAATCCCACTGGGGGCTCAGGTCACAGCGATGACTTCCGGCTTCACTGCACTTGGCAGTTTATAAAACATTTTTACATCTGCTGTTTTATCCCCCCCCCCCCCCCCCACCAACCACCTGTGAGATAGTTACCGTCTCCATTTTGTAGAAGAGAAAAAGGGGACTGAGAATGTGACATGCTCGCCCCGTCCACCTGCTCCCGGGAAGAGCAGCCTCAGTGAGCCTGGGCTTATTGCCCTCCAAATCCTGTATATTCATCTCTGCTCCACAGTCTTTCCTAGACAAGCTGCTGGTCATGTGTGTGCACACATGTGTGGGTGTGCGCATGTGCCAGTCACACTTATGCATGAGCTGTGGCCTGATGCCAAGACCTTCTACTAGGCTCCAAACAACGACGAAGTTTCAAGTGTCAGCCCAGCCCTTCCTCCCGTCCTGAGAAACCTGTTTTCCCAGGCGCGTGGGCACAAGGGCTGCCACAGCAGCGAACTCCGCGCTGGGGTCTTCCCATCTGACCCTGGGGGCCTGGAGAACCCTGAGCCAGAATGACAGCTCTATGCCCCGGACAACATCTGGCAGCACGGGCAGGCGCTGTCCCTCAGAATCCAAGCCCAGTGGGCTGGAGTGGGGTTTCAGAGCCTCCCACCTGCCTCCACCCTGGGAAGGAGCCAGGTCTCAGGCACAGCCCTGAGCTGAGCTGTCAGAGGCCCGGCCTGTGCCACACAGACGGCAAGCTGCTGCCCGAAGCCTGAGGCTGAGACCCTGGGCCCAGGAGGTTTTGTCTGGGTTGTGCAGGGAGGGGTCAGCCGGCTCTGGCAGGGGTGAGTGTTCAGTGACTGGAGTGTGTGACTCTTTTCTTCTTCTTTGCTCTCTTTCTCCACTCCTGGGTCTCTGTTACCATCTCTCTCAGTCTTACCCGCCTATATAGGTATCCTTTCCTCTTGGAATTAAGCATCCAGCCTGTCCCCATGGGGCCTCCGTCCTACCCACTGTGTGGTCTGGATCTGGGAGCACTCCAGATGCCTTGGCCTTTTGGTGGCCGGGTAGGGAGGGCCTGTGAAGAAGAGAGTGCCTCCCCCACCTGCCCAGACAATGTGGTTTTCTCCTCCAGGAGAGCTCCTCCTGCAGGACCAGGCCCTGTTACCTCTCTCCCCCGTGCAGAGAACACGGCCACATGGCCAGGGGCACCACTACGTTGTATTCTTGGGGAATGGTGCCCCCCCTGGAGTTGCACAATGGGACAGCCCTGACCCATCGTGCCCTGGAAGAGGAGCTCCCAGCAGAAAGGCTGGCCAGGAGTGGTTTCTCAGGAAGGACTTGTGAGCTGCCAGGGTGAGCTGAGCAGAGGAGCAAGGAACCTGCCTGGCTTCTCCCTGGGGCTGGGAGGGCGAGAAGGAGACAGAGGAACACACCGGCTGCGGGCAGCGTGAGACGGGATTTCCTTCCACGGGGACAATTCCAACTCCACAGCGTGGACTCCTAGACTCCAGGGCCCAAGGGCTGTTCTGTGTCCTCAGCGCTCCATGTCCCAGGCTCAAGATGTCACCGTTAGTGTTTCCTTCCCTGGCTGAAGGCTTCCCTCCCTCCCTACCCTGGTTACAATGTCAGTCCCTTTGGGACCGGAACAAACCTGAGGCTACTTCTCACTCTGGCTCTGCAACGGGATGAGCGCTTGCAGGTACTGGGAGCTGAGGGGAAGGACCACCAAGGGGTCGGGGCACTTGACATTGAGGGTCTGGACCCTGGCACCATGTTCCGGGCAGGGACCCCAGTGTGGAGGAAGCCGCAAAGGTCTGCAGGACCCTCTCCTCCCCATCCTTCCAGCTAGGTGCCTGTCTCGGCCTGAACTGCTGTGCTGGCTTCCTCAGTCTCACCCAGCCCCAGGCCGGTCCCAAGAGGGGTTTTCTAAAATGCCAGTTTCTCCGCCCACTTCTCACGCTCCCTCCCCCATGCTCCCTCCAGACTCTAGGCTCCAGCTGGCCCCCACCCTGCCCTCCGCCCCCACAAGCCATTCCCTGAATGCATTCCACCTGCTTACACGCCTCTCTGTTCCTCCTGTTCCCTCTGCCTGGAGTACCTGTCTGCCTCTGCCCCTGCCCACCCCCTCACTCCAACGCAGTCTATTAAAAACGTTCTCACGTCTAGTCCACACACACACAAAACATCCATACATTCTTTGCCCAACCCCAGGGTGCAGGCCAGCCCCAAGCCAGCAGCTCCCATCCACTCCCACGGCTGAGCAGAGAGTCAGCCACGGGCTCCCACCGTCTACACACTTCAGGCCGAGGCAGACCCCTCCCCATGACCCCAACTGAGGGGGACGCTTACCAAGCCTTCCAGGTTCCCCTGTCAAAGCCCCTCTACCCAAAACTACCTGGGGGAGGGGGCAGGAAGCTCCACGCCCTCTCCCCTTCCTGCTGGGAAAACACAACAGGGATTTGTCCAAAGAAACACTCACAAAATCCTTTTATATCCACCTCCTAGAGCCCTTAGAATCAGCAATCCAGCTCTTAGTATTTCCTTTGCAGATCTGCCCCTCATTTTCCAATTTTTATGCATATGGTATCTTGATACCTCAATAGAAACTTCCATTTTATTGGCCTATTACACTTCTGTATTTTTTTAAGACTGACTCGAACCACCTCCCTTCCTCAGAAACCCTGCCCAAGCTCCCCAGCTGGACTTTGTTGCTCCTTCCACTGAACTCCTCGCTGAAGGAGAGGGGTGGATGGATGTTGACCTGCTTTGTGCAGGAGGCGCCCGTGCTGGGTGGCCATGTGTCCTCCCGCTGGGCTGGGAGCCATTGTCCACATGCTGGTGTCTCAGGGCCTCGCAGAGCCAGGGGCACCAGCGGTGCTCGCCTCCTGAGAGAGTGAAAACACGGCTACAGCCTCAGTCTCGGGGGATCTCTGAGAAGATTTCCTGGATAAATGAGGCCTCATCCTTGAATGCCAAACACCTGCCCAAAACGTGCCACCATTTTGAATGACACTCTTCCTGCCAGGATTTTGTAATCCATGCCTTCTCCAGAGAAAATCTGCCATGGTCACACTGCAATCTTCCCTCAGTGACTCCATCATCAAAACGCATTTGAATCCTCAGCTGCTGTCCAAGGATGAGCTTGGAGGGAGTGGATGAACCCTGTTTTATAGGTCTGTTCACCCCAATTTGGGCTGTCCTTTGTGTCGTCCTTTCTGCTTTTCTGGATTTAACGACGTCTCGCGTGCCACTGGCATCAGCAGCCATGCCTCCCCGTGCCCTGCACAGCCCTGCCCGCCTCCGGCAGCCTCGCTCCCACTGCTCAGTTGTTGTCTCTAATTTGTTGGGAGCTGGAGCACAAATACTAAAGCAGAAATAGACAGGATCTGAGTAGGGGGCTCAGGGCTCCCTGAGACGTCAGTGGGCACAGGCTTTACCATATCTGTTCTGGCTGTTTCAAAGCCTCTTTTGCTCCCTTCCTGGCCCTCTCTGTGCTCTGGATTGCTAACTTGCCTGGTTGGCTAACAGATGGGTATCAGACGCAGGGAGGAGTGGCTGAGGTGAGCCCAAACCTGCTGGCTTAGGGTTAGGCAAGCTGCAGGGGTTGGCTCAGCCTGGGCAGTTGTGAGGATGGGGTGGGTCAGGGCCTGTGGGCTCTGCAGGTGGGGGCAGGAGGAAGTGCAAGGCCAGGTTGTCTCCCACTACACTCAGCCTCCCTTCTCTGGAAGAGTGGTTGGGCCAGGGCCCTTGCCGTGGTACCCACTGCGGCCTGAGCTCAGACCTTTCCCTCTCTCCTAGCCTCACTGCCGCACCTCCACGCAGCTCCCCCAGGAGAATGAGGGGCCTGTCATCTCAGGCGCCTGGTCCTTCCCATTTTCCTGATGTTGCCGATGCCAGTCTCACTTCCCTTGCCCCTCTTGGTGACCTGAGAAGCTCTCACTCACCTTTAAATATGAGTGGGAAGGGCCCTTCCTCTGTGAGGACAGTGGGCTACATCTCTGCCCTTCCAGCCTCTAACGCTAATGGGCACTGACCCAGCTGGGGGCTACCCTGGCCTTCCTCCTAGCACCATGCCCCCTCCTCAGGCTCAGCACAGCCTGTGCCTGATGTTCTGGGCCAGGGTACCAGGGGGCCAGAGGAGAGGAGGCCCAGGGCCAAATTTCACTTCCCTTTCCCCAAAAGGGGAGGGAAGAGGGCCTGGCTCCCACACCCAGGCCTGGGATCCTCATAGGATGCTGGGGACGGGGCAGTGAGCAGGGCCCGCTTGCCTGCTGCTCCAGCCTGGGCCCCGGCCTGTGAGTGCAGTGGGATGGAGAGCAGATACTCGCAAGACTGAAATGTCCCAGCTTCAGCCACTTCAGAAGGACGGTGAGAGTGGACGCGTCTGTAGGCCTGGCGTTTGGGCCCCTTGGCCGGATGGTGGTCAGTGTCTGTTTCTCTGTGTTGACCCCAAGAGCATACAGTCACTCATAGTTTGCAGAGGGTCCCAGGAGCACATCCCGACTCATCCCAACCTCAGTGACATGGTGTGGGGGCCAGACACAGGCCACAGCAATGAGGGCACCCAGGCTCAGAGTCACTTAGCATCCCGCCCACGGTCACTCTGCAGTTCAGTGAGACGAGCAGCTGGGACTAGAAAGCAGGCTGCCTGGTCCTGGGGCAGATGCTCTTGCCTGGACCCAGGGCACTCTGCATCCTTTACAGGAGCGTCCATTTGTCACAGCACAGAGCAGAAGCGTGTAGCCAGAGGATGTGAATTCTGGCCCTGCTCTGTGGCTTGGAGAAAACCATGCCTCCTCCCAGGTCTCGGTTTCCTATGCTGTAAAAAAGGGGAATGAGCCCTGGGTGAACTGGAGGTAGGAGCATGTGACGTGGCGGATGCTTTGCAAGGGTAGTGGGAGACTCTCCCCGTGCTGCCCCACCCCCCAGTCTCCCTCCCACTAGGAGTAAGGAAATCGCAGGGACCTGACTCTAAGGGACCTGGACTCCAGGCCCAGCTCCACCTTTACTTCCTGTGTTGCCCATACCTTCCTGGCCTCAGTTTCCCCTCTGCACAAGCAAGAGCTTGAACACTTTGACTTCTGAAGCCCCTCCCAGCTCCAGGACTCTAAGATGCTGCTCCTCTCCTCCTCCTCCTCCTCTTCTTGCTCCTCTCCAGATGAGGCTGTGTGTGCCTTTGCATTTGTGTGCATGTGTATATGTGTGTGCATGCGTGTATGTGTTTGCGTGTGTGTGAGTGTGCGTGTGTGTGTGTAGTGGACCAGGCGAAGGGAGTGAGTCCTGCAGAGGATGGGGGTGGCAGTTGGGGGGATACGGGGACCGGGACTTTCCGTGCCTGTGGGGCTCGAGCTTTCTCAGCAGCTAATGGCACTCGGGCTGTTTAATCATTAAAGGAAGGGAACGGAGCCAGGAGCACCTCAAAGTCCAGCCTGGTGGCGACTGACTAACAGACGAGCACAGAGCCAGCAGCAATGGGGCCGGGAGCTTTGGGAAATGGGGTCAGGACGGAGACAGCGCTGGGTTCTGGAGTCAGCCTTCACGCCTACGACATCGGGGTCCTGGTTGTCTACTTTGTCTTTGTCATCGCTGTGGGGCTCTGGGTGAGTATGCTCAGAGGTGAGGGCCTGGCAGGGGCGGCAGAGGCAGGCTTTCACCTCTGGGGGTCACTGGTCTGGTCGGGGAGCTGGAGGAGGGATGGGCAGGAGGAAGGTGCATCAGGGAAACACAAGGGCTGAGGTGGAAGGGAATTTTCCTCTGCAACCCCTCCTCTCATAGCTGGGCAGACCGAGGCCCAGAGAGGGATGCAACTTGCCTGCTATCACACAGTGAGCTAGAGGCAGGCCGGGCCTGAGCCCCTTTCTCATCTCCTGACTCCCTGTCTTCAAGCATCAGCTGCCTTCAGCCCCACCCAGCACTGGCTGCCCTCTTCCCCATGCCAAAAGCCCAGCTCTGCAGAAGCTTGACTCCTGGCTACCCCACCCTCCACCAGGGAGTGTCTGGGCAAGGCGCTGTGCTTTCTGAAGGATCTGGGCTCGTGTGCTCCCAGGGAGGGAGCCAGGTGGATCCTTCGTTCTCTGTCATTCCCCAGGCCTTGGCACTGTGGAAGGGGTGGGGCTTTGAGGTCAGGGAGCCCTGAGTTCAGATCTCGACTCCAGCAGTGAGGTCCGCATGGCCCCAGGAACATACGAAGCCTCTCGAGCCTCAGTTTTCTCACCTGGACAATGAGAACAGGAAGGACTACGCTGTAGAGTGGTCATGACATTTGGCAACAGGATGCACTTTGCATCTGGCTTAGTGCCTGGCACACAGCCGGCAGCAATAAACGGCCACTGTTGTCACTGCGGCACTTGAGGAACGCCAGTGCCTCTAGACTCCACTATGAAGCAAGCAGTGATGTGAGCCCAGCTAGTCGGGAACCCTCTCTGGGCCTCAGTTTCCTCATCTGTAAAGTGGAGTGAACAGTCCCTGCCTCCCAGGGCTGGTGTGAGCAAGAAACTGGCAGATGATCACTGGCTCCCGGAGGCGGGGGCCATGAAGAGCCCAACTCCTCCCGCGACTTGGACAACTTGCTCCCCATCTCTGGGCCTCAGTTTCCTCATCTGTAACACGAATTCTTTCTGCTCATCTGGTGTCCCCGAGGACCAGAGGCAACACCAGAGAGTCAAAACAAAGGCTTAACAAGCACCTGGCCCCACACATGCTGATCCCCGCACACACTGATCCCCACGCACACTGATCTCCACACAATGACCCCTGCACACTGATCCACGCACACACTGACCCCCACACACTGATCCCCATGCACACTGATCCCCACGCATGCTGATCCACACACACACTGATTCCCACATACCCTGATCCAGGCACACTCTGATCCCTTCACACACTGATCCCCACACACACTGATCTCTCCCCGTGACTAATTAACTACTTTCTCTTGGGGAAGAGAAGCATCTTTAAATCTCCCTTCTCCTTCTCTCCTTCAGGCATTTCTCCTGTCTCCAGACCCAGCCAGAGACCTGTTGCTTCAAGTTTCTGCTCCCTGCCCAGGCCCTGCCCTCGCCCTGAGTCCCCAGAGAAAGTGCTCTCACTCTCCACTCTCCTTTCGCCCTCAGAGCAAGTCCCCACACAGGCTGCTGACCACTATTGGTGCGGGATAGGGGCTTGTTCCGGGCTCCTGGAGGGCCCAAGTGGTGTCAGGCCCAGGGCAGGAGAAACCCCAAAACCTCTGCCCAGGGCCCAGGGCCCCAAGTCCCACCCTCAGAGCTGCCGCACTTTCTGTCCTCCAGCCTCCAGGGTGGGAGTCCCACTGGGCAGAGGGGACTCACTGCTGTCACCTGAGTCTGAGGTACCAATTCATTTCCTGAAACAGTGTGGATGGAGGGAGGGATGAGGGGACAAACGACAATCATCTCATACGCTTGCACAGCACTGGGCCATGCACAGTGGCTTCTCACCATTGTGAGCTCCTTTCCTCTGAACACCAGCCCTGGGAGACGAGCAGGGAAGTGCAGAGAGGAGCTGACGCCCCCAGAGACACATAGCTTAAAGATGGTGAAACCGTCTGCCTCAGTTCAGGCCCTCTGCATCCCGCAGCGCCTGTGCCGAGGGGCAGGGAACCTGGGGTGGAGGGCAGAGGTTAGGGGATGCTCAGGAAATCCTCACCTCTGGTCACTTCTTTTCCAGTCGTCCTACCGTGCGAGCCGAGGGACCATTGGCGGCTATTTCCTGGCAGGGAGATCCATGAGCTGGTGGCCAGTGAGTTGACCGTCCTCCTTCCCCGCCTCTCAGCATCCAAGTCCCGTCTCATCTCCTGCATGGACCAAGGCAACAGCCCCCGGGGGGTTTCCTGGCTCTGGGCCCCTTCTCTCCAGTCCAAATGCACCCATGACCTGAGAGATCTTGTGAACACACGCACGCCTTGGGCAAGCATCCACTGGGCACCTCCTAAGTGTGGGCACCAGGGTGGACACCGGACCTACCGAGAAAATTTAGGATGTTCCTGTCCTGGAGAAGATCAGAGTTGAGCTGGGCAGACGGACTCATAAACAACATGATCCCTGCTGAGCTGGAGGGCAGCACGGGGGCTTGTGGGCATTTGTGGGAAGCCCCTGAGATCCAGATGGTGGAAGTGGGATCAGCAAAGATTTTCCTGGGAAAGTGACACATCAGCTTAGTCCTGAAGAGCAGTCACATGTGGGCGATCACAGAGGTGAAGTCCCCAACAACCTCAGCCCCGATCCTGAGGCCTTGGTGGCCATCGCACCACCCTACACATTCCTCCTGGTCCTCAAAACCAACTTCCCCTTCCTGAAACAGGATGGAGGGACGTAAGCCCTGCCTCAAAAACTAACAGTGGAGTTGTCGGCTCCTGCGGTAGCTGCTGCTGTACACACGCTTGGGCAGGCACAACTCACACACATGGCCCGTGCATGCATGCACTCACACACTTGCACACACACCACCAACCACCTTCACACGCCATCTTACTTCTCACCGCCTTCCCTGCCTGCCCCTGGTGACAGACTCACTAGTGGAGGAAACCCAGGGGCCCCCAGAGCTCCCTGGAAGGCTTGGGTTTCTGGGACAGGACGAGATGGGGACAGGGAGCTCTTGTGCTCTCAGCATGATAGATTCCTCAGGGATGTGGGGGGCTGAGGGCCTGGCAGCTCACAGGGACAGTGACAGGGTCACTGGTGCTGCCAGCCACCCTCTCAACAAAGAAAGCAAGCCCCCTGGAATCTGTTCTGCTGAGCTGGTGGCCCCCTCCCTAAATCACAGCCCTGGAGACAAGTCAGCAGGAGGGACAAGAAGCAGGACAGAGCACATCTCCTCGGGTCCATTCAGGAGAGTGACTTAGGCAGGCCTGGCTGCTCCTTCAGTCCAGTGGAGAGCAGTGGTCTGTCTCTGCAGGTGTGAGGAAAAGCCGAGGCCTCATTTCGGGAGGAGGGTGCCCCAAAGATGGGTGGGTGTGGAGCCGTGCATCCCGTGGGAAGGAGGGTTTGGTGTCTCTCCCGAGGTGGACAGGGCTGTGAGCTGAGCTCTTCCCTGAGAGCAGGCATCCCCGGAGGCCAGGAGCAGACCCAGCTCTGGGTAGGGGAGCTCCGTCGCATCTGCCATACTGGAGCTGGTGTGTCTGGGTGTCTGCGACGAAGTCCAATAACTTTGTGCCCTTCCCTACTCGGCCAGTCCTGAGACGTGCCTCCTTCCCCTCCCTGGGCCCTGCCCAAGGAGAGTGTGTGGCTGGGAAGGCAGAGCAGAAGGAACGGCAGTGTTCCAGGTCCAGAGAAGCCTGCATGACCCTGTGATGAGCTGGGAGCCTGGGCTGGTGCGGCTGAGGCACTCTACGCTCCGGGGAGCCTAGGGGAGCCTTCTCCTTCCTCTGCTTCCTCTCTGCTCTGACTAGGTGGTCCAGTCCAGCCCAGAAGCATCCCCAAGACCACCTGAGGGAGTATGTGTGTGCAGGCATAAGTGGGGTTAGGGGACGGCGGGGGCCAAAGGCCTCAGTGACGAGCATGTCAGGCTGGCGTCATCTCTGTGCCTTCAGGATGCGTGGCCGCCTCTTCTCTGACCGTCTCAGTACTTTGTTTCTCCTTGCTTTCCGTTGCCCGGCTCCTCCAGAACAGGAAGTGGGAGCAGGTGAGCCCCACATATTCTAGGCGGAGAATCTGAGGCTTTGAGAGAGGAAGTGATTTTATGAAAGTGACACAGGGAGAAAGACTGGAGCATAGCTCTTCACCTCCGACCCCCAGCCCTTTCCCCAAGGTCTCGCCTCCCCCCAGGCTCCAGAGCCCCTCTCTTGGCCCCCCTCCCCTCCCAATTAAGGATCCCATCTAATAGTAAAGGATAACACTAGCGAGTGCTTATTAGGTGCACGGCAGCAATCATGGAGTGTCTCCTGGAGCCAGCCAGCCAGGCTGCAAATCCCCATTCTGTCATCATTAGCTCTGGAATTTGGGCAAGTCATTCATCTGTGCTTCAGTTCCCTCCTCAGTAAAACAGGCATGGTACTAGGACCCAGCTCCCAGGGTTGTGGTGAGGACTAAGTGAGTTAGTATATTTGGGACAGTCCCTGGGCTCTGGCAATGCTGGGTAAGTATTAACGGCCATGATTGTCGTCCTTGTAGCTACTATTGCTCCTATTGCCTTGGAGTAGTTGGCTGGCCTCCTGGAGAAAAATTAACTCAACTCAGATGGAGGCTGCCCAGCCTGTGCTCCGCCCTGGGCTCCTCCCTCTGCCTGGCCTGCCAGGGAGCCTGCAGGAACCGGGGTGGCAGAGGGCCTCCCCCAGTCCCTCTTGTGCGGACCTCCCCACCTCCCCTTCAGCTTCCTTCTCTCCAGAGGCCTGTATATCGAAGGCCCAGTGCAGAACTTTATCCTCCCTACATGAGCCTTACTTCCCGCGGCTTCCCTTCTTTCCCACTTTGCCACTCACTCACTGGGTGGCCCTGAGCCAGCGACTTCATGTCTTCTAACATTAATTCCTTCTTCTGTAAACTGGAAAGATTAATACCCTCCCTCCAAATATTTGTGGAGATTCAGTGTATTGTTGCGTATAAAATGCCTAGCAAGTACCTGGCGTACAGTAGGTACCCAATAAGTGTCAGTTCTGCCCCTTCTCCTCTTTGCTCCCCCCACTTCCTCTCCTCCCTCTGATCTCAAATTCCCTGAGTTGGTCCTGTTCTCTCTGCCTCCTTCCGGGCTCCTGAAGCTCATGGTCCTGCCTCCAGACTGATTCAGATGAAAACTGACCCCTGACACTTGACCCCACTTGTGCCTTGCAGATTGGAGCCTCTCTGATGTCCAGCAACGTGGGCAGCGGCTTGTTCATCGGCCTGGCTGGGACAGGGGCTGCCGGAGGCCTTGCTGTGGGTGGCTTCGAGTGGAACGTAAGGAAGCTGGCCTGGAGGCTTCTCAGGGATAACGGGGGTCTCAATCCACCCCACCCCACCCCATTCCTGGCTTTAGTGCTAAAAGGAACCTCAGAGGTGCTTTGGGGAGGCTGCATGGTGAATTGAGAAACCATTTGACAGATGAGGAAACCAAGGCCTGGAGGAGGCAGAGGGACTCATCAGAGGTCGTGCAGGACCGAGATCAGATTCCCTCATCCCTTATCTCCCCGTTCAGGGCTCTCCTCTGCACAGTGCCACCCCTGGGTAGGGGACCACACCTCCGTTGCATCTAGGACAGGGATACCTTCTTTTCCCCACTCTCGCAGGCAACCTGGCTGCTTCTGGCCCTCGGCTGGATCTTCGTCCCTGTGTACATCGCAGCCGGTGTGGTCACAATGCCGCAGTACCTGAAGAAGCGATTTGGGGGCCAGAGGATCCAGGTGTACATGTCTGTCTTGTCTCTCATCCTCTACATCTTCACTAAGATTTCAGTGAGTACCCACTTTAGTGTGGCCATCCTGTCTCTCAGAAAATGCTGAGTATAGGGCATGGCTTTTTGCTGGATCAGAGATGGATGGATAGATGGATGGCTAGATGGATGGATGGATGGATAGATGGATGGATGGACAGATGGATAGATGGATAGATAGACAGACAGAAGGAAGGATAGGAGAAAGGAAGGATGAATCCACAAACTTCATCACCTGCTTCCCCTCAGCAGTCGGGTAATCAGAGATGAATAATAAATGTTTGCTGAGTAAGTCACGGTCCCTCCATTCCAAGAACTCATAATCTAGAGTGCATTCATTCATTTATCTTTCTATTTATTGATTCTTCATTCAGCACTGTGCATTAATTGCCTAGAATGTTACAGTTAGAAAGGTCTTTATTCTTCCTCTACTGACCTAAACTCAGAAAACAAATGTAGGTCAAATGATTTGCACACGTCCACATGGAGGGCTAGCTCTGGGACTGGCACTAGAGCTTGTGTCCAGTGGCCCAGTCCAGGTCTCCTGCCACTTTGCCACGTTGTAGCCCCTTTAATGGGTTCATAAAACAATTGTGGAATGGGATCAACAAGCATGCTCTGAAGGGACCTCAATCATTCAGTTGTCAGGTCTAGGGTGGGAAAAAACTGTACAACCTCTTTCCACCAGTGCTTGAAAACAAGCCTAACTCAGCTTAGGCAAAGGATGCACCCTAAGTTTTCCAATAATCCCCAACACGTGGAGTATCCAGAACCCGTGGTTCTTTGTGCTGGGGCTCCTGCCCCATCAGGTCAGCCATGGGCCCGTCTGGCCGCTGAGTGGCCCTCTGCTCTGTCAGGGAGCACTGAGGGGCCCTCTGGCTCCTACTCTCCTCCCAAATGGCCTCTTCTCTGACCCCAGCTCTCTGTTCGCTTCCTCAGTTTTCCCCTTCATTCTTTTACCTCTCCCTCATGGCCCCAGACTACCCTGTCAATGGACCAGATGACATTGTCTCAGCTTCAAAGTTCGATATGGTCCTCATCTGCTTTAAAATCTCCATGGCTCCTCCGTGTCTGCGAGCCCATCCTCCTCAGCATGACACTTAAGGCTCATCCTCATCATGTGTTGAGGGCTGACAGTACCCAGTGTTGCTGAGCAGGAAGCTGACATACCCTGGTGGCCACATGGAGGGGCTTGGGTGACCTGGACTTCTGGGTCCTGGCTCTTTGCAGACTGACATCTTCTCTGGAGCCATCTTCATCCAGATGGCCTTGGGTTGGAACCTTTACCTCTCCACGGTGATCCTGCTGGTGGTGACGGCCGTCTACACCATCACAGGTAGGGCCGAGGGAAGGTCACGTCAGGGCGCAGGTGTCTGGAACAGAGACTGAGAAAGAGGGAGAGGTGGAGAGGGAAGCGTCTGACTGGGAGAGACACAGAGGGAAGGACTGGGGGAGAGAGATGTCCAGAGAGAGGACAGAGAGAAATGGAACCTGAGAGAGCGAGGAAGAAACAGGAAGGGAGAGAGAGGCAGACAGAGACGTAGGATCAGAGGAAAATGCTGCAAGCCACAGTGTAACAGAGAAAAGAGGAGGCAGAAAGGGCAGAGCCAGGAGGAAAGTGCCAGCCAGAGAGAGACAGGGAAGGAGAGACACTCAGAGATACTGACCAAGACCAACGGAAACAGGGAGCAGGGTGGCGATTAGTGGACTATCACCTGGACTAGAGTCGCTGTGGGCCGCTCCAGACAAAAGCCACAAAACCGCCTTCTCCTGTCTCCTCCAGAGCTCCTCGCACAGGCCTGGGCCCCTGGGACACTGGCTCAGGCCAGACTTCCTCATGGCCACGTCGGCCTGGAAAGATGGGGGATTTCAACGGACGCTGGGTGGGGAGAGAGGGAATACTCCTGCTGCAGCTAACAGCACAGCAAAGGAAGAGACTTGGGGTATTTATTACAGAACGACAGCAAAGAGCTGTGGCATGACAGTCAGAGGCTGTCAGGGATGGAAAGAGCTAGACCTGAGCGCCTGTGACAGTGACCAGCATCCACCCTGCTGGGTGGAACAGAGCGGAGCATGCAGTGTGGGCAAAGGCAGGGGCCAGAGTCCGCCTACCAAGGGGGCCCCGTGTCTTCTCTGGTCTCCCTGGTGGCACAGCACAGGGCGGGCACCCAAGGAGGAAGGCCCTGTTGGTGCTGACTACTGAGCCCTCTCCTTGGGTCCCCAGGAGGCCTCACGGCCGTGATCTACACAGACGCTCTACAGACGGTGATCATGGTGGGGGGAGCCCTGGTCCTCATGTTTCTGGGTAAGGAAGCAACGTGAATACCCGCCACCCTCAGCCCTAAATTCCTTGCTGATCTGTCTTTGGCTGTCACCACCATGGTTTGATCAGAACTTTCCAGAGCACAGAGCCATGTCCCCCCTCCAGGTTGGGGCTCCCAAAGAGCAGGATTCTCTCTCCTCCAAATCAGGGGTCTTGAGCCTGAGCCTCACATCCCTCCCTCATTCCGAAGTCCCATACCTGTTCCAAGCCGAGGGGCCCCACACAGGACTAGGAAGTGGGGGCAGGGGGGATGCGTCATGTGACAGGCCCAGCGGGGTCTCAGGGCTGTTTGACTCACTGTGGCCTCTTCCCACAGGCTTTCAGGAGGTGGGCTGGTACCCAGGCCTGGAGCAGCGGTACATGCAGGCCATCCCTAATGCCACAGTCCCCAACACCACCTGTCACCTCCCCCGGCCCGATGCCTTCCACATGCTCCGGGACCCTGTGAGCGGGGACATCCCTTGGCCAGGCCTCATTTTCGGGCTCACGGTGCTGGCCACCTGGTGCTGGTGCACGGACCAGGTGAGGCCCCAGCTAGGCTTAGCCCACCCCATGTGAACTGGGGTGGCTCCGTGAGAGAAAACTGGGCATCTGGATGCACAGAGGGTTGGGACTTGTTCTGGGACCGTCGTAGGGGCACAGTCAGTGACCATGTCAGGGCTCACCTGTGGCTGAGCTGAGCCTGGCCTGGCCTAGTGGCACACCTCCACTGCTGCCTTTTCAGGTCATTGTGCAGAGGTCTCTCTCCGCCAAGAGTCTGTCCCATGCCAAGGGAGGCTCCGTGCTGGGGGGCTACCTGAAGATCCTGCCCATGTTCTTCATCATCATGCCCGGCATGATCAGCCGGGCCCTGTACCCAGGTAAGGCTCGCCTCCCTCCCGGGTGATGTTGGACTAGAGCGGGGTCGCACACTGTTTGTACTAAGAACACATAGTGAGTATGTTAGGCTTTGTGGGCTCTAACTGCTGTCGCTTCTTCTGCAGATGAAGTGGGCTGTGTGGACCCTGATGTCTGCCAAAGAGTCTGCGGGGTCCCAGTGGGATGTTCCAACATCGCCTACCCCAAGCTGGTCATGGGTCTCATGCCCGTTGGTGAGTCGCACCTCCCCCACACCATGCTTCATTCCTGCCTCCCAGCCTCCTCCAATCCTCACTGCCCAGGAGGGATTGCATTAAGGATGGACATGGACAGGAAGAGGAAATAAAAACATCCACCTCCGAATATCCCCTCCCCCAATACACACATACACATGCACACTTCACAAGTGTCTGCAAGGCACTTCCCTGTGCCCTGGCTTTTGAGACGCAGGGATAAAAGGCAGGCCCCTGCTCTCAGGCTCCATGTAGTCTCCAGGGTACCCAGGTAGAGGGCACAACACAATGTGACCAGAGTGGGGACACATGGGGCTGAGAGAGCCCTAGGGAAGCCACTGGCCCACTTTGGTGAAATGTTGGGTAACACTTCCCAGAGGAGAGGAATTGGAGCTGAGTCCCGAGGAGAATCTTAGACAGACAAAGGCAGAGGGCGTGGGAAGTGTCATTCCAGGGAGGAGGGGCTGCATGTGCAAAGGCCCAGCACTGAGAGGGACCGTGAAGTCTGCCCTGTAAGTAGCCCGTGCGGGCTCATGTGCAGGGGAATGAAGACATGCTCCATGGAGAGGAGGCTGTGGCCACACCTCGTTCTGGGCATAGCCTTTACTCAGGGCAAGGGGGTTCAGGCCAGTGTGCACGATGGGATTTGTGCTTTAACAGGACCACTCTGCAGGGAAGTTCCGCTTCGGGGGAGGCAGGGAGATGATTAACGAGGGGCTCGTGGTGGTCCACATGAGAGGTGAGGATGGCTTGGAGCAGGTCAGTGGCTTTAGAGAGGGACAGAAGGGTTTAAAAGATATTGGTGAGGTCAACTTGGCAGGACTTGATGACTGATTGCATCTGAGGGACCAGAAAGACAGAGGAATCCAAAGAGGGCTCCCAGGTCTTGGGTTTGTGGTGACATTGAGATCGGAGATATAGGAGGAAGGGAGGTCTATGGAGGGAAGTGGATGGGTTAACTCATTCCCTCCCTCCAGCAGAACAAGAAATGAATCAAAGAAACAGGGGAGACAGCAGGAGGCCCAGCTACAACAGAGCAGCCAGAGGGGCTGCTGGAGGGAGGAGGGTGGGAGGGCAGCAGAGGACGGGGTCTGGGGTAACTCGGAGGTGTCTGGTTGGAGACTAGAAAGATGTTATTAACAGAAAGAAGAAACAGAGAGCCCGGAGGAAGATGCTGGCCAGGTTTGCGACCCCTTGAGTCTCCCAGGGAGACATCCAGGAGGGGTGGAATATTTGGATCTGCGGGAAAGAGGACCGAGGTGGGCAGGGAGTCGTCTCCCCAGGGGGAGCAGTCTGTTTCAAGACACTTGGTGGTTAGAGTCACAGACTTCAGATATTAGTGGGGTCCCTCCCTTGTGACAGGGAAAAAATAGGCCCAGAAAGGAGGGAACTAGGTCAAAGATGACGTAGCTAGTTACTTGCAGAACCAGGAAACAAATCCAGGGCTTCTGCCTCCAAGGCCAAGGCTTCGGCCTGGCACGCCAGTGTCGACAAAAAGGTACAAAACCCACTGGAAACATTCAATTATTAACCATCACCCTCCTACCCACCAGGGACTCACTAACCAGTATCTACAAACTTTGAAATGCAGACTGAGACATCAAAGCTGCAGAGAACCTTAAAGATCACCTTGGCTCACACCCCTGAACGGTGTAGATGGGGAAACTGAGGCTCGGGGAGGGCAGATGACTCACCCAAGGCCACAGAGCAAGGCAGAGGCAGAGAGTGGCCAGAACTGGGCCTCTGGTTCTCCTGGATTCCTTATCCATGTGGGATGGGAACCCCATCCAATGCCTTCCCCATCGCCTCCTCTCCCCTCCACTCCTGACTCTGCTGAACGCTGCAGCCTCCATGGTTGCTGGTAGAGCCGGCATTACTGGGTCAGCTGACCCCGCAAACTTGTGTCTCCCCAGGTCTGCGGGGCCTGATGGTCGCTGTGATCATGGCCGCCCTCATGAGCTCACTCACCTCTGTCTTCAACAGCAGCAGCACCCTGTTCACCATCGACGTGTGGCAGCGCTTCCGCAGGAAGGCAACAGAGCAGGAGCTGATGGTGGTGGGCAGGTGTGCTCCCCATCCTTCCAGAGCACCCCGCCTTGTAGGCAGAGCCCCTCTCCCCTCTCCTCCTTCCCTGCATCTGGGCCCTTGACCGGCAGTCAGAGCACCTGGTTTTACTGCCACTTATTTCATCCGTCGGTGGAGTTTGGGTGCCATCTCCTGGCCATCTGCATTATTGCATCCAACACATCCAAGAATATGTTTCATCCACTTGTTTACACACCTGCAAAATCATATAGAACGTGCACTTTGAGGACTTGGCCCTGAGCCAGGATCAGTGGAGGGGAGTCAGAAGGAGAAGGTAGAGTCCCTGCTCTGAGCTAAATGCCAGTGTAAATGCCAGAGAGAGGAGCAGAGCTGGAGGAGCCTGGAGAACGAAGCTCTGGAGGCTGGAGCCGTCCAGAAGGGGGCTGTCGTGCACAAGGTCTGCATGCAAAAGAGAAGGCAAGGCATCCCAAGCAGAGGCCAGAGGCTGTTTCCTGAGGTGGGTGGTGGGGTGAAAGGGATGGTTCCTTCCTGAAGAGCAGGTGGGCCGCGTGACTCAAAGGCATCCAAGTCAAAACTCCTGGTTTCTTGGATTCTGGCATTCTGACATTCTGGGATTTTAAGAGTCTGAATTTCTGGAATCTGAGCATTTGAGATTCTGGCTTTCTAACATTCTCTGGTTCAGTGCCCATGCATTCCCCTCCCTCTCCCTTCCTGGTTTCTGAGCATCACCTCTGCCCCGCCCCACACCTGCCACCTCAGGCACTCCTCTTGTTCCCTGTGCCCTCCTGCAGAGTGTTTGTGGTGTTCCTGGTCATCATCAGCATCCTCTGGATCCCCATCATCCAGAGCTCCAACAGCGGGCAGCTCTTCGACTACATCCAGTCTGTCACCAGTTACCTGGCCCCGCCCATCACCGCCCTCTTCCTGCTGGCCATCTTCTGCAAGAGGGTCACAGAGCCTGTGAGTACAGCAGCATACCCATCTCTCCCAGGACACCAGAGGGGCAGGGGTGCGGGTCTGTCTGTGACCTGGTCTCTCTCTGTGACCTTGGGCACACCTACTGCCCCCTCTAGCTTCCATCTCCCCATCCATAGCGTCGGGTCTAGATTCAGTCATTGACTCAACAAACGTTTATCAGTCCTATTATGGAGGCTCCAGGGATGCAGTGGTTTACAACATTCGTGTAGGCCTGCCATCACTGGGCCAGCAGGGAGGAAAGAAGATTAAGGGAGCAATAATACTACAGGATAATGGCTGCCATGAGAGTAAAGAGTGGGGGTACCGAGCCCATGGGATGCCCAGGAGTGGGTCAGGGAAATCTTCCTGGATGAAGTGAAGGATTAAAGGAAAAGGGAAGAGTGTTCCAGACATGGGGAGCAGTGTGTGTGAAAGCTCAAGACAGACTGGAGGATCTCAAGGGTCTGCTCTGTCTCTGACTCTAAGGCTCTCTATGTAGGAAGAATGACAGCAATGACGATGATGGAGCAAAGTGTGAACTTACACAGGCGTCCGCACAGGCCTCATTCATGGAACTGCTGAGACCTGACAGAGCCTGGGAGGAGCTAGAGGTCCGGGGATGGTGACCTTGGTTACTCCCCAGGGCAGCCTAGGAAAGACAGCCCACACCTGCTGGCCGTGCCTCGGGGAGGTAAGGGAGGTCAGGGGTGTGACTCCACCAGAGCCACATGAGAGCTCAAGGTCGCCACAAAGGAGATCACAGGAACCCTCCCCCAGTGGAGTACCTGCCCAGATGTCTACTGATGTCTCCTGTTCACATCTCCCTGCTGATGACCATGGCGTACAGCAGGCCTCAGTTAATTCTGGATGCCTCTGCTCATTCCAGAATTTTTGAAATTGGGGTCAACATTTCATTTTTGAAAATACAAGTCATCTGACTCTTACATATGAGGCACAGGTATAGGTTAGGGTCAAACAATGCTATAAAGAGGATATGGGAGGTGTCAGAACTTTCTTTTGTTAAAAAAAAAAGGGCAAAAGATATGAAAACATAGAAGCAACAAAAGAGAGATATCAATTCTGATTTCCAATTTATCATGACAGGAAATTGGGAAGGGGATCTTGGTATTCCCTGTTTATTACAAAAGCATGTTACATTCTAGTCAAATATTAGGACTCACTAATTTCTCTTAACTGCACATGAGAAAACTCCGGGCCAGGGAGGTCGAGTCAGTGCTTCAGCCGTTCTGGAATGGAGCCAGGGTCCAAATCCCAGTCTGTCTGAGTCTGGAGCCTGTGCTCCTTCCACTACCCTCTCTGTCTGCCTTTAGGTTGAGACAAAGCCCCAGCATTTGCAGGGAACCCACCAAGGTGGACTTGCAAACATTGTAACAGACCAGGGCTTCCTTCCCGGGGTCTCCCCCCTGGATCTCAGCCCTGCCCACCTCTGCTCTCTCCGCAGGGGGCCTTCTGGGGCCTGCTGTTTGGCCTGGCAGTGGGGCTTCTGCGCATGATCCTGGAGTTCGTGTACCCAGCCCCAGCCTGCGGGGAGGTGGACCGCAGGCCGGCCGTGCTGAAGGACTTGCACTACCTGTACTTTGCGCTCCTCCTCTGCGGGCTCACTGCCGTCGTCATCGTCACCGTCAGCCTCTGCACAGCCCCCATCCCTGAGGAAAAGGCAAGTGGATGCTCGTCCTGAGGCCCCTCAAGATGCTCCCCCAGCCCCGTGCCTGGAATTCCACCACCGAGTTTTGCTCCATGGGGTCATGGTTCCCTGTTGCCATACAGAAGTCCCGGGGAGGAGAAGCTTTTTGGGTTATTAATTCCCAAGTGAAGAGGAATCATTCAATTGGAAAATGACTCAGCGAGCACCCACTCCATGCCAGGCACTATGCTGGGGTTACAAAGACGAATGGTCCCTGCCAGCGACTGTCCACACTGGAGAGGGGCCGAGTGGGGGGAGGACACAGACACCAATGCAAAGAGTTACTCTATGGGGAGAGAGAGTGCAGAAGGACCAAGCTCAAAGGAAGGGGCTGGATACAGAAGGCGAGGCAGTCAGTCACCCCTGGGGGCCGGGGAGGGTTCCCTGACAAGGTCACTTTGAGTTGGACCTTGAAGAATGAGTAGGGATTTGTTGACTGGTCAAGCAGCATGTAAATGAGAAAAGAGAGTCTGCCGGAGTAAGAGGTCAATCGGAGGTCCTCGCTCTGCCATGCTGACGGATTCGCCTGCCCTCGGCACCGAGGCCCAGCCTTTGAAATCTTCTTTCTTTAGAGCAGCAGGGCAGTGGCTCAGGCTGCCATAAGAAAGGACCACAGCCCGTGTGGCTTAAACAGCAGAAATGTACCTACTCACAGTTCTGGAGGCTGGCAGTCTGAGACCAGGCTGTTGGCAGGGTGATTTCCTCTGAGGCCTCTCCATGGCTTGAAGCTGAAATCTTCTACGTCTTTATCTTCACGTGGTCTTCCCCCACGCCTGTCTGTGTCCGAATCTCCTCTTCTTATGACACCAGTCATCTTAGGTTAGAGCCACTCGAATGACCTCACTTAACTTAGCTACCCCTCCAAAGACCCCATCTCCAAGGTCAGTCACACACTGAAGTACTGGGGGAATTTGAGGGGAACACAAGTCAGCCCATAACAGAGCCAGTGCCAGAAGGTGGCCCCTGAAACACTGGGTGGAAATCATTAACAGCACCCCTTACCTGTACGGTGCTTTAGAGTTGTCAAAACAACTTTATCCCCTTGGTGTCGCGAATTCCTACAAACAAGCAGGACAGTCACAGATGAGCCAAGGGAAGCCGACTTCTCCAGTGGGTGACTCCAGAAACGACCTCCTCCCACTGCTTGAATCTTCAGCTTCCTCTCCACTGTCTGCTGTCTCATTCCCACACTGAAGTGTTTCCCCGTTAAAAATCCTCTCCCTGGGTCCTGTTCTCTAGTTCAGCTGCCTCTTTCCCTGCCCCTCAACAGCAGACTGGTCTGCGCTTCTCAGCTCTTGTCTACATCTCAACGCTCTGCGGTCTGGCTGCTGTCCCCACCTTCCTACTGAAATCGCTCTCACCAAGATCCCCAATAACCTTGTCACTAAAAATGAATGCTCACTTGCCCATCTTTATTTTAAGTGCATTCTGAGGAGAACCAGACCCCACTGACCACTTCCTGCATTCTGAAGACCTCTCTTCTCTTCACTTCCATGATGTGTTTCCCTCTGGCATTTTTTTTCCTACCCTTCTGATCATTCTTCTGCCTTCTTCTTGGGCTTTTCTTCCTGATCCTTAAAGATCATTGTTCCTCAGGGACCTACCTATGGCCTACAAGCCTTCTCACCCCAGAGTCCCTGAGCTGTCTTATCCACGCCCATGAATTCAAACACCCTCTGCATAAAGACACTCAACTTTCTATCTGCAGCCAAAACCCCTCTCCCAAGATTCAAACTCAAAACCCAGCTGCCTCCTGGTGACATAAAGAGACACTGATAAGGACACACATTGGAATTATAAAGTTTATTGAGTGATATTTACAAGCACAGCAGCAGGCCAGGCTCTCATAATCCCGTAGAGGGAAACAGCCGGAAGCCCAGTGGAAAGTGTCCCAGGAGAGGGGCCCTCACCCCACACTCTGTATGTATTTGTAGGAAGTTAGGGGCAAGCCAGGGGCACCTGGCTCAAGACGTAACAAACTGCTGCCTGGCCAGAAAAAGAGCTTTGCTGGAAAGGAGGCAGTCCAGACTCGGGCAGCGATGGTTGGGTGCAACTGACATCAGCCAGAGAACGTGCCGTGTTCTTCTCTGCTGAGTTTCCAAAAAGGTGGAAGAGCGAAGGCCACCTGGGCTGTGCAGGGGACACAAGGTTCGTTCCTCCTCGCCTGGACGTCTCCACTCAGAGGTCCTACAGACTCGTCAAGCTCATCATCATATTTGCGTGTGTGCATGAGCCGCCCCTGCCGTTCGCTGTCACTTCCACTATCACCCAAACCCACTCCTCCTGCCCACCCTGTCTCTGCGAGGGGCACCACTGCCCACTCGAAGTTCACAGCAGGAACCTGAGAGCAGGTTAGCTGCTTCCCTCTCCCTCACCAGGCTCATTCAGTCACCTCGGCCTGTAGATCTCACTCCTTAACATTCCTTAAGACGCTCCTGCCTATCCCCTCAGGCCCTCTTGATTTCTTGCTGCGTTTTTGTAACAGCCTTCAGGCTGGAACCCATCAGTTCACTCCTGAGAGACCTTTCTAAATCCCAGAATTTATCTTCTATTCCCTTTGCCTAAAGTCTGCAGTGACTCTCCACTGCCTACTAGTTTTTTTGAGTAGCTACTCCTCAGTGACCTTGGAAGCCTTTTGTCACTGGGCGCCTGCCTCCCTGTCTGGCTTTGAGCTCCTGGGCTCAGGGGTGGTGCCTGCCTGGACTTGGTGTGTTCTCAGCACCGGCTACAAGCCCGGCGTGGAGCGAGTGCTCAGCAACTGCAGGTTTTCGAAGGAAGGGGCAGTCAGGCTGAGTCAGGCCCCTGACTCCCAGCCCTGCGCTCCTCACTGCTCTGGCGGCCTCCCATGAAGTGGGCCCCCTTGTTACAGCAGGACTTCCCTCCGAAGGTAACTGAGTCCAGCAGTGTTCTCTTTCCCTCCAGCTCGCTCGCCTGACATGGTGGACACGGAACTGCCCCCACTCTGGGCTGGAGAAGGAGTCCCATGAGGGCACACCAGAGGCATCAGAGGTGCCATCCGGGGAGTGCCCTGCAGCAGGCGGAGGGGCAGAGGACTCCAGCCAGGACTGCGAGCAGCCTGGAGGTAGGCTGAGGGCACGCTGGGGGTGCAGCATAGGGGAGCAGTGGGGACAGACATCGTGTCACAGTCCCCAAAGACCTCATTAGGGGGTCACTGGGGATGCCAAAAAATATGTTCCCTCCTCCTTTCCCATATGTCTATTAAACTATTTGAGAAGTAAGACAAATGAGTAAGGTAGATGGGAGCCAATATATTGCCCTCGTTCCTGATAAAATGTAGTGGAAAGATTTGTTTTCTATCATGAGGAGGTGCACTTCCTAATACCAAACCCCAGCAGCAGACAGAGGCATCTATCACAGGGACCCTGTGAGCACTGCACTGCCAAGAAGGAGGGGGAAGGGACCGAGCCAAGCTGCCCTCTATCATCCCCAAATCTACCAACAGGGAAATCCCTTCACCTCCCCTGGGCTCAGTGAAGCGAAGGGCAGAGAATCAAATGGTGTTACACTAATTGAGTTCCGTCTCATGGAAGGAAACATCAGGCATGGCAAAGAAACAGCCCCCCTCACCACCACTTTATTTATTTATTTAACATTTTTCCCCATTAGCCTGAACAGTTCTGGCTACAGTCACACAGAAGCATGGCTATCCCTCATGGGATGAGAGTAGCCATGCGTCCACACGGTTCTGCCTATCTTCATGAAGTTCCTCCAGACCAATCATCATTCCTATGGGGATCCTGCTTGGCTGCTGATGGGCCATATAAATTTTGCCTCTTGGAGGTTCTTAAAAGTGTTAGAACAGGACATTAATTAAATTCACTCCAAGGCCACACAGTATCTAAAGTTGAAAACTGGTATAAGGTATAATGTGGCTGTTTCAGATGTAACGCAGCTATAACCTTGTAGTATGATTACATAACAACGTTAAGATATTCTGATATAAGGACAACATCATCGAGATTTCCCAAAGTATTAAATTCCCAAGGAAAAATTAAAGTCAGAAAGTTAAGTCAGTTTTCAAGTTAAGCCCCCAAATCAATTCTCTTGCCCTTGTGAGTAGAACTGTAATGAAACATAAGTCCGAAAGTTACTGCCTGCCTCTGGTAGAGGGAGCCCCAGAGCCCAGGGAGAGCTGGGGTGCCTTGGGCAGCTGCCCTCTCCCCCTGGATTGGGCAGAGCTCCAGCAAGCATCAAAAAGTGTCTTAGTTCCATTCACAGCCTCTGATGTGACAAACCGTCAATAATGACAGCAAGTTAAGAGCATAGATAAGGTTATCAAAGCACCACTTGCTAGACCCGCACGGCTGGCCGCACTGTGCCCCTTGGCTCCCACGCCCTTGCCAGGTTCCAGGGGCCCCATGCTCCCCCTGAGGCCTGAGAAGCCTCCCACCTTTCCTGAGGCCCTTCACCTTTGCTAAGGCCCTGACTCTAGAGAAACACCCACTTGCCTACAGTTAGTGACATCATCAGCTCCAGAAGCCCACCAATATCTAAGACTCAAAGCTTCCTGCCCAAGCTGCAGCAGGTAAAAGCCAGTGGTCACTCTAAAAAGCTATCCGTAATGGAGAAGGTAATCCTTTACGAACTTCCAAGGTGGAAACCCAGGTAGGCTCCTGTCAGAAAGCACCAGCAAAGCCCAAAGTCGCCCTCCCTCGTCTAATCAGCTGTCCCCATTAGTTGAGATGTATTTTGTTTTGCAGCAATTCTTTGTCTCTTTTTCAAACTTTGTGGTCCAGGCACCAGACATTGGAGTCTCAAAACTGCTTCTACCACCATCCTCCCAAGACTAGGTCCTGGCCTCTATGAGCCTCATGGCGTGGTAGAAGCAGTCTGAGAGCATGGCTCTCTGTAGATGAGATAGCGACCAAGAGAGAGGAAAGAGGAAGGGATGAAGAAGAGGAAGGGATGAAGAGGAAGGGATGAAGAGGAGGAGGGATGAAGAGGAGGAGGGATGAAGAGGAGGAGGGATGAAGAGGAGGAGGGATGAAGAGGAGGAAGGGATGAAGAGGAGGAGGGATGAAGAGGAGGAGGGATGAAGAGGAGGAGGGATGAAGAGGAGGAGGGATGAAGAGGAAGGGATGAAGAGGAGGAGGGATGAAGAGGAGGAAGGGATGAAGAGGAGGAGGGATGCAGAGGAGGAGGGATGAAGAGGAGGAGGGATGAAGAGGAGGAGGGATGAAGAGGAGGAGGGATGAAGAGGAGGAAGGGATGCAGAGGAGGAGGGATGAAGAGGAGGAGGGATGAAGAGGAGGAGGGATGAAGAGGAGGAGGGATGAAGAGGAGGAGGGATGAAGAGGAGGAGGGATGCAGAGGAGGAGGGATGCAGAGGAGGAAGGGATGAAGAGGAGGAGGGATGAAGAGGAGGAGGGATGAAGAGGAGGAAGGGATGCAGAGGAGGAAGGGATGAAGAGGAGGAGGGATGAAGAGGAGGAAGGGATGAAGAGGAGGAGGGATGAAGAGGAGGAGGGATGAAGAGGAAGGGATGAAGCTATGAGGGCAGCGCCCAGAGGAAAGGAGAGAGGGCACAGCTCGTGCTCTCTCACAGTGGAACCCCAGGACCAGGCAGACTGACATGGTCACTGACAGCCCTCCCTGGCTTAACCCCATGCCAGGGGGCAGAGCCTGTCCCTGGAGAAGCAGGGCAATGCTTGCTCCCTGTGGGTGGCTTGCTCCCAAGAGGGACAAAGGAAGCACTGAGTCAGCCAAGAAGTTTAGTGAGAGAAGTCCTTCCCCAACCACCAGGAGTGAGAGAGCAGGGAGGCAAATGCTAGGGTGTGCCACAGCCCCCTCCCTGCTAATGGAAACATTGGGAATGGGGAAGAAGCATCCATCCCTGGAAGGGCCACAGGCAGAGGAAGCTCATCTGTGTTGTCCCCAGGTTAGAAAGCAAAGTGGCAGTATAATTCGAAGTCCCCTCCAAAAAAGCAAAAAAAATTGAAGGGCAACAGAATGGATCAGAAAGAAGTGTATTCATCCCAGGTTGTAGATGGATTTAAATTCACTGAGTCCTTGCTCACCAATAACTATTTAAGGGAATCAGAAGAGAGTACTGGGACCAACGTGTAAAATGATGGAGTCTGGTCTACAGTCAAAATGCTGAATTTCTACCATTGCTCTTCGTGCAGCTCTGTGGCTATGCAACCTTACCCAAGTCCCTCCTTTTCTGTGAGCCTCTGTCCTCCTCTGTCCAATGAGAGACCATGACTAGATGGTAACCTGGGGTCTTCACGTCTCTGACACTCTGTAGTCACATTGGACTTACCAAGTTCCAAAGCCAAAAAGATAAGAATGAATTTCCAGAGTGTCTATTCAACCTCAATGAAAGGTTTTTTATATACATTTTGCTTTAAGATGCTGTCTGCTAATCCAAAAAAAATACTTTAAAAATATCTGTTTTCTTTATTACTTCTTTAAAACTTAGTTTTTAATGAATAGTGCTGACCTTAGCGCCTCTCTCGGCGCCGGGGAGCCCGTGTCTGCACTGGCAGTCTGCCGCACATCTAGAACGTTATGCTCACCAGGACCTCTGCCTGCTGCTCCAGCACTGGTAACTCTTAAAAGTGCTGTCAAAATCTATGCTCTCATTTGATGCTCAAAACGCTCTGGAGAAGAACAGGGCATATGCCATTGACCTATTTGGGGGAGAAAGAACCTGCAGCTCAGAGGAGTTGAGAGACTGATGGCACATGGCCTCAGTCTGGTGATGGCAGCGCTGGCCCAGGAACAGGTCCCTGGCTTCGGGCCGGGTGCCCTTCCCGTGGCGGTGCAGCCTCTGTCTCCTTCAACTGCTCCCTCCTTCCTTGGTAAGTTAACTCTCCCCTCCGTCCTCACACGGGGCGTGTGCTCTGAAGTGGGCTGAACCGTTATCCTCACTCCTGAACATGCCACCTCCCCTGCAGCTTTGAGGTGCTTCTGCTCGGTGGCTGTTTGGATGCTGTGGCCAGGGTCAGAGCCCAGTCTAGAGCCCTGACTCAGGACCCAGTCTGGGGCGGGCAGAAAGGGCTAAGGGGATGACTCCGCCCCACCCCCTCTTTCTGTGGCCTCATCTCTTTCTTCCATTTCTCACCACTCTCTCCCTCCCCCGCTCTCTCGTCACTCTCTTTTCTCCAACCTTGCCTTGCTTCTTCTTTCCTTCCTCAGATCCCCGCAGGTCCTGGGGAAAGCTGCTCTGGGGCTGGTTCTGTGGGCTCTCCGGGGCCCCGGAGCAAGCCCGGAGCCCAGCGGAGACGGCCGCGCAGGAGCAGAAGCTGACCAGCACCGAGGAGGAGCCGCTCTGGAGAAGCGTCTGCAACGTCAACGCCATCCTCCTGCTGGCCATCAATGTCTTCCTCTGGGGCTACTTTGCATGAGTCCACAGATCTGGCTTCAGCTGACACACGTCCAACACACCCCGGGCTCAGCCACAGCAGCAGGCTTTCCTCTCACCTTGCTGTCCAAACTAGAGACTACAGAGGCTGAAGCTGCAAGAGCCCCTGCAGAGCATCTAATCCAGGCTCCACCCTGGACAACTGGAGAAGTGGAGGCCCAGAGAGAGCACTGGCTCTACTCAGGGCCACACAGCAGGACTCGCACTGGGTCTCCTGACGCCAGCTCTCTTTCCATTACATTGCCTTACATTCCTACCTCAAAAACACTCCTTCTACCCTCTTGGTATGTCTACTCAAAAACTTTTACTACTTGTGTGTTTTGAGGTTACAAAAGTGGAGGATACAAGGAAAGTTGTGGCAAGAATGTTGCAAAGGTCCACATGTACCTTGGCTCACCCCATCCCTGCCTTTCCGCTTCTCCTTCCTCCCTCTCTAGTTCCCAGTCCTTGGCCCCCTATTCCCAGCAGGGCTCCACCCAGGGGGGGCCTTATACTTCCACAGGCAGCTCCACAATCGTGGCTGTCAGACCCAAAGGAGGGAGGGACCCGGGTGGCATGCAAACATGGTGACAGGTGGTGTTTGGGACAGGGAGTTCTGGGCTGAGAGACTCTCCTTGGTGCTACTCAAATTCTGCCTTTTCCACTCTCATATGTGAATGTGTACCGTCTCCGTGGCCTTGAGGAACTTAGAGTCCAGCTGGAGAGACGGCACTTGTTGAAAACAAGAGGACTCGAGTTAGGCTGCTCTGTGCGGAAGGGTAAGCCCTGCAGAGGGGCAGCACGGAGAGCCTCGGAGCCACTGCACTGGGCTGTGCCCTTTGCCCGCCAGGCATCCTCCCACCCTGGAAAACACCATGGCCCTGCTTAGGTGTCCTTCCTCCAGGAAGCTGCCTGATGCCACCACTGGGCCAAGGTCCCACACCCTCTGGACCTGCTTCTGTGGCAGCACTGATCCCTGTACTGTGATCTTTGTCTCCCCAACTAGATTGAGTCCTCCAAGGGGCAAGGACCAAGGACCATGCCCCTTGTGACTTTGTACCCATAAAGTAACAGGTGTTCAATAAATGTTAAATTAGTACTTCTCCAAGGTCCCAGTAGACTTTGCACTGTGGCTGGCGGGTAGCGACCTGGGGAACCAGCTGGTGGGGAGGAACCTCCAGCTGGAGTTTATACCCTGAGTCTCAGACGTCTGGAATGAAACCACAGCCCTGTCCCATTGCCAAGGACACAGGTGAAAATGTCTCTGCTTTCTTCCATGTCCCCATCTGTCTAGGCTGCCCCTGCTCTCATTGGATCCCCTTTAATGCTGCCTTCCATCATCACTTTATACTAATCACTCAGCAAAACCAAATACAAATAAAATTCTAGTTCCTTGAGGTTTCAATACAGCTCATCCTATGAACACCCCGTTGCTGCTGCCTCCAAATTTCTGTGTCCCCTGCCCTTTTGACCTCATCTGAGTCACCCCACGTGGCTAAGCTCTCCTCACTGCTCCCCACTGACCCTTCCTGGGAACTCAGCTTTCTCCCCTGATTGTCCCCAAAACCATTCACATAAGGCATTTGTGTATAACCAATTATACTGCAGGTTTAGGGAGGGGAAGATTTTTAAACCACAGAAGCACAGTTTAAAATGAAATCATTGAACATCCCTATTTTCAAAAGTTCCTTGGCAGCCTGTTCTGAGTTTCCTACCAGTCTCCCGCCTCCTGCTGCCGCCCCTCCCAAGGTGGATTTTCTCAGGGCTCTGGGTCCTCCATTCCGGTTCCTGCTCCCTCCTCAGTTTCCACCTCCCTTTATTAGGCTGGATCTCCTCTGCCTCCAGACCTACCTGCTCTAACCCAAAGACTCATGAGCATGCTGTTAAACACAGCAGGACTGCTGAAGGGCGGCCACTCTCCTTCCCTCCCCTTTTTGCCTGTTTAGTTCCTCCCTGTTCCTCACATCTCAGCATGAAAGTCACATACATCCTAAGGGAAGCCACATTGTCCCAGTGATGACCTTACCCCGGCCACCTGCATCCCAGATCAGGTAAACCCCATCACCCAACAAGTAAGCTCATGCTCCCCTGACTTTACCTGCAAAGAAAGTGTCAGAGTAACATATCCATCACGTAATTACTTCACTAATATTCATCTTGTCCCCTAGATTGTAAGCTCCCCCAGTAAAGTCCCCATCACCTACAGAGGTACCTGGAGCACGGGGGATGCTAAAAAAAATGTGTTGTATGAATGAGTGAAAATGAGTTAATGAACAAGAGAGCATCGTTAGCAGAGGAGGGAGGAGGAAATCAAATATTCCAAACACAGAGACGGGGAAAACCACGGCATAATCAGGAAGCAAAAAGTAGTTTAAAATGTCTGGGTTGACAAGGCCACTGCTTGTCTATATGGCTTCTTTGTGCAAGTGAGGAAAAGGTGCCCTTCCTTCTGGTAGCTGTGACTCCCACAGGGCTCACAGGGACAGCCAGAGCTCAGGCTGCATTTCCGCCCTCACATGCCCCCTTGACCAAGTGCATCTCTGCAGGCGCTACCTGCACAACCATGGAGCGGGAGCCCTGCCGAGGTGGGAGGTGAGTGGTGGGGAGGTACACTGGGGTTCGCTCAGGGAGGAGGGTCCATGCTCAGCCTGGGACCTCATCAGCTCTTCCCAGGATTACTGCACCGGCTCTTGACTGTTAGCTCTGTTCTCAGTCTCTCCTCTTCCTATCACCCTATGCACTACAGCAAGAGTGATCTTTGTACAACATAAACCTTGTGTCACCTACGTGTTTAAAACTCTCTAGAGACAACGTTTCCTAGCCTGGGATGAGGCCCTACAAAAACTGCTAGAAATATCTCCAGGGTTCAGTCCTTGCCCCCTTCTCTATCCCAGCCAAAGAGAGGCTGTTCTGTGCAGCGGTTAAGAGCAGGGACTAAGGCCTGACCTTCTGGAACCAAATCCCAGCTCTGCCATTTGCTCACTACATGATATCAGGCAAGTTGCTTAACCTCCCTCTCCATTTCCTTTCTACAAAATAGAGCCGTAATTGCAGCTACTTCAGAGTTGTTCAGAGGACTAAGAGTTAATTAACATAAAGTATTTAAAACAGTGCCTGGCACACAGAGTCATGATTAAACTCAATAAACACTAGCTATTGTGACCACTGTTAGTAGCAGGAGAGATGGGCCCACAGAGGCACGACACCACATAGCCTGCTGTCAGAGCAAGGGGGTGGGCGAATTAATTTTTCCTGAGGAATTGGGAAAAGACATAACAAGTTCTTCATATTTGAGCTGTTTGGAGGATGAATAGGAGTTTTCTAGAAGTCATGCAAGGTAGAGGGACGTGTGCGCGAAGGTGGGAGGGTGCAAAAGTGCATGCTGGGTTCCCATAAAAATAGGGATCATAGTTACTCATTCGCAAATACCAACCTGACACATTTAGTTTCCCTCATAAATCATGTTTTGTTTCAGCCTCTCACCTCTGAGGCAGAGCCGGGAGGTTTATTTGACCAGGGACAGGCGAGAAGGAGCATTTGACCACTGTCACAGAGGCTGTCAGTGCCCCACCCACGTCCCCTAGGCACTCACCAGGCCTGTTTGCTGGGTGACTCTGCTGAGGGCTTTCTCTGGCTGCACAAAATACTCAGCCCTGCATAGAACAAGCTGGAAGTGCTGGGGAATTGAGGGCTGGGAGCAGCCCTCAGCCAACGGCAAGCAAGAGTCGGCGGATGAGCACTACCAGTTCCTTGCCCCTCAAGGGGCTTGTTCTAAACCATCTCCAGAGGTTCTTGGGGACTGAGTCCCAGCTGCCCAGAGTTAACCTGCTCGTTAACTCATCCCACACAGCTGCCTTCCTGGCCAGCCCTGCCCCTTTTCCCCCTCTCCCGCTGGCAATTCCTGGGATCGCTCCCAAACAAATTACCTGCACCTGGTTTCGTGTCCTCCTTCTGGGGAAACCAAACAGAGAGAGTCGTTTAAGACTGGAACATCCTCAAGTCCTGGCTTAGTTTTGCTACCACTTACTTCGTGACTCCCCCCGCCCCGCCCGGACCCCATACCTGTTCCGTCATCCTGACTAAGGGCCATGCAAAGATCTGAACTGGTTTAGATCACGTCTAGGGAGACTTCCCAAGTGCTGACATCATGTGCTTCTGACCCAGTTCCACCTTGTCTCCCTGGGGCAGGGAGCGGGTGGCCGGGCGGTGGAGAAGGGTTCACAGGGAAAGCGAGTCACTGGCCAGCACACTTGAGTGGAAACAGCGCAAAGGGAAAAACTGAGAACTAGTTTTCAGAGAATTGAGATGGGTTTGCCACGAGCAATAATAACGTTTAGAAGTAGCTTTGGACTGTGAAAGGACGACGTTTAAAAACAAATAGCGCTCTTAAAAATATCTTGAAGAAACGTTTCTGAAAGCGATTTGCAATTGAGCTTGGACCAGAAAAGTGCTCAGTTTAATATGTGAGACTTGTGACTCTGTCCCTGGGTGTGAGAGCTCACATCAGTTAGAAGGGGGTGGAAACTGCTGGAAACTCAGGCAAAAACAGTGTCAGTTTTCCATTAACCTAGAACTCACGTCTCTCTAGACTTCCAGCCTTAAGTAAGATTACTGTAATTTCTTCTTCTCTCCAGGGTGAAAAGTTGGGAGACCTTTAAAGGTTATATATAAACATAAATCCGAGAGACTTAAATTGAGGCAGTTACGGCTTACTTTCATATTTCAAAATCAAATCTCAGCTGTAGACCAGACAGAGTAGAAATGTCAGTTCTTTTACTGTGATCTTGCATAAAATATATAACTTTCACTTAAAGTGGAAAGAAAACCCCACCATTACACCTAAGTAGAATACAAAAGCCTTGGTGCATCTCTCAGTAAGGTTTGCATGTAGATTTTAGAATTATGTTCAGAACGGGAAGGAACCTCAGGAGTCAGTCAGTTCCTTTCCTCCTCAGTCCAGGTCAGAATTTCTCTGAACAGCCTGCCTGACAGGTCAGGTTAGCCAGCCTCTGCTTGCACACCTCCAGTGAGAGGGAACTCATTTCCCCCGAGAGAGAGCTTCATTGGATGACATTGACAATTAGAAAGTTTTTCTTTAGTCACCTAAATTCTGCATCCTTGCATTTCCAACCACTCATACAAACAAACCAAACAATGTGAAAATAACTCAGATGAATCATTTACTCTAAAATCACATCCATACCACTTGGGATTTATTCTTAAAAGAATAATTCACAAAACTGGGAAGTCCCTGTAGAAGTGCAAATTTATCCAGGATGAGAAGAACATGAAGACTCACAGGACTGATAGCTTTAGAAACCCTCACCTCATTTTATAAGGCGCACTCCCACGTCCACCGTCTCATTTAGTTCCCGTTACCACTCCAGGATGGTGCATTATTTATAAATGAAGAAACAAACTCAGGAGAGGGGAAGTGATGTCCCCACGGCCTGTCACTCTGTAGCTGAGTTGGCCCTTGAACCCAGAAATCCAGCTCTACCTTCAGGCCTCTCCCCACCACGCTACTGGCATCCGTAGGCAGAATACACACGCAGATTCTTTGGGAATGCTACTCGTCTCCAGGTACATGGAATAAATGTGCAAAAAATCTACAGTCCAAGAAGAGGTCAATCTAATAAAAAAGACAGGCAAGTAAGCAAGTTAGCGCAGTATATTTCAATAAGGACTGAAATTGGAGGTAGGGACAAAATACTTTGGGAAAACGCAGAAAGGAGCAACAAATTGCCTGGTAGAGTTGGGGAGGGCTTCACAGACACGGCATTTAGCTTGGATTTTGAAGGGTGAGTAGAGATTTCGATGTGGAAAAATGGAATGAATTATATTCCAGGCAGAAGCAGCAACACAAAGCGAGACAAGCAGGTAAAAGGGCACAGTGTGTGTGGGGTAGAGTGAGATTCTCGGTGTGGCTGAAGCCGGCGGCGTGTCAGGGTAGAAAGCAGATGTGCTTGGAGAAGCAGGCAGAGGCCATCTTAAGGACATGGAAGGTCACTATGAATTGGGCGCCATGATGTAGCCAGTGGGATAGCGTTGGGGAGGGTGAGCAAGGGCAACACATATATCCAAGGAGCATCTTATTGTTTGCTTTAGAAACATCATTATGGCCACAGAAAGAGAATAAATTAAAAGGTCAGAGGCTGCTAAGGGATGGTACTTTATGAGATCGTTGTAGTACCAGTGGAAAGAAATAAGGAAGAGTCCATCAACAGATGAATGGATAAACCAAACGTGGTGTATACACACACTGGATTACTATTCAGCTGTAAAAAGGTATGAAATTTTGATGTATGCTACAACATGGATGGACTTTGAAAACATTATGCTTAGTGAAGTAAGCCAGACTTAGAAGGACAAATGTTGTAACGATTCCATTTATATGAGGTACCTAGAATAGGCAAATTCACAGGGACACTAGGTAGAGTAGAGATTACCAGCGGGTGTGGGGAGGGGGGAAGGAGGAGATATTGTTTAATGGGTACAGTTTATGTTGGGGATGATGAAAAAATTTGGGGTATAGATAGTGGTGATGGGTACACAGAATTGTGAACACATATAATGCCACTGAATTGTACATTTTCAAATGGTTGAAATTATAAATATTGATATATATTTTTTATCACAATAAAAAATAAGAACTGGTGGATGGATATATGCTAAAGCAAATGTAGTAAAATGATGAACTCACATTTGAGCACACTGATGTTGAGGCACCTGTAAGATATGCCACTAGAATTGCCAAGTAATTATTTGTATCCATGGGTCTGAAGCCTGGTGAAGAGATCAGGGCTGCAAAACTTCCTTATAATTTCAGCTTGGGAGAAATACAACCTACTTCGTGGAA